ATTCAATTCAACATTTATACAGGAATGAATGAAATTGTCAGATCTCAGGCAAAAATTGGGTTATAAAGATGGGGGGAAAAATGTACATGAATCGCTTTGGTATATAGGTCGCAGGACATGCAAATTTATGCAAAAAGGTGTGACTTAAACAGCAAAAAAATATGATAAATTGTTCTGTATTCCTGAATCTGGTCTGGTTCCTGTTTTCAGTATTAATTCTGTCAGAGGTCTTCCGTAAATAATCTAATAAAAGTATTATTGCTGATATTGTTTCTTCAAACGAAACATTTTCCATTCTTATGACTGTCCTGATAGAAAGATTAACTGTTTGAACTGAAGCAATTTCCTGTCGTTAATGATATTGTTGGACTTGTTTTTGTGTAAGATGTGACTTGACCTTGAATTTGTCTCCGTTCCCTCAGCCACAGCACGCACCGCACCTTTGGCAAGCAGCAGTGGCAGCAGCTGTACGACAGCCTCAGCTCCTGGAAGGCAAACCTCGCTACAGTCAAGACCAGCCTGCAAACCCTGTCTCCTTCTGCATGATTCCTCCCAAAGCCCACCTGTCAAAGCTGCGCGACGCTCAACTCTTTACTGCTTTCCACATTCTCAGACTGAAAACATCAAATCAGTTTTTATATCTATCAAATAAAAGAACGGTGAAGATTACCAAGGTTGTTTTGTGTGTGTGTGTGTGTGTGTGTGTGTGTGTGTTGAAATATATTTCAAAACTGAGCATTACATAAAAAATATAAATGGCATAATGGCTCTTTTTAGAAAACGATTGTTTTCCAGCAGCTCTTAACATCTGCTTTTAGTTAACCCAATGTTCCAGTAATGGATGAACTGTGACTTGGGGGTAGTGGGGGGGGGGGGGGTGAGAAATCATCTTCAGCACGAGGGTCACTTTGTCAGGAACGCATATCTGACAACTTGTGTGAACTTGAGGTGACCCTCTCCTGCTGCACTCAGATCTGTGTTACTGTAGTTTCAACATGGAGTGCTGTCTGCTCATGGCTTCAAACCATCTGCAGCCAGCATTACTCACCGTCTCTTACTGCTCCTGAAATGTAGAGAAACGAGGACTTCTGCATTTTCAGACTTGTTTATTAGCACATTAAAAGGTCAACTTATTGTATACCACTGTACAATTACTGTAGCAAGTTTATAACATACTATAAAGTATAGCATTACAGATTTTTAAGTAGATGAAATATAACTTGTCTTAAAGTCTGTAACGCTTGACGAAATTAGCTAAAAGATGAATTGCCTCTTTTCGGTTGAGTCCTCCCTGTGAAACGTCACGGATCAAAACAAAGCACAGAAGCAATGTTTGCTGACATGTCTCACTTATCTGTAATAATGATCCAAGCTACTAATCTGTTGCAGTCAGTATTCAGTCACGGTTGTCTCACTGACTTGGGGAAACTGCTGGGGTAAGACGTTTGAGCTGCTCCTGCATCCACTAACTGAGGTTTTCTCAGCACATTACAGCTGTTCTTTCTAAAATGTCAATCACAGTCAACAAATTGGCTACTTTCATTTAAAGGAGACTTTTCTTTAATCATTTATACAGTGAAATTCAGTCAACCTTTATTTATACAGGTTAGTCTCATGGAGACACGAGGACTCATTCGTAAGAAAAACCTGTTTTAATCAAAGAACACAGATGAGGTACAGACAACAGCTATATCATATAAAATGAAAAAGTAAATGGAAGAAATATAAAAACAAAAAATGTACTCTAAGTAACAAAAGGTGTCGAGCTGGGCATATCTGGGCTGTTCATTACACTTAAATGATTTTTAATCAAGCTCACTACATAACTTACACAGGGCGGCTGTGGCTGAGTGGTTAGAGCAGTCGTCTTCCAATGTAAGAGTCGGGGGTTCAAATCCACTACCTGTCACATGCCCAAGTGTCCCTGGGCAAGACACTGAAGCAGTGGTTAGAGAAGATGGGCCTGTGATCAGAAAGTCACAAGTTCAACTCCCGATACCGTCGACATCAAAATGTGGGTGGAAAAGATAAAGCACCCACACCTGCCTCCACCCTCATTCACCCCATAGGCCCCTGAGCAAGGCCCTTAACCCCCCACCATTTGCTCCCCAAAACAGGTCTCTCTTGAAAATAAGTTTGTGTGACTCAATGACACTACCTGTATAAATAAAGGATAAATGAAAAAAAAAAGAATGTGATAAAGCACTGATTAGTCTTTTTAGGATGATTTGTACAATTAGCTTTGTAGAGATCTAGTAGAGTGCTGTATGGGTAAATTAGGCCACAGATTGGAGTGTAAAGCATGTTGAGTGTCTTGATAAGATAGAAAGATGCTATATGTCCATTTAACATTTACAATACAGTGAAAACTAAAATTTTCAGTTTGGCCTCTGCAGATCCAATAAAAGAGTTGCTTTTTAAGCAGGGGAGTCTGTTTTCTAGCAGCCATCCAAAAAGTTGTAGTGTTAACATTTAACAAAATATAATCTGGGACTTGAATGTAAAAGTTGTTTTTTGTTTGTTTGTTTGTTTATTTGTTTGTTTTTCTGGAGTTTCCTCCTGACATTGATCAGCGCAAACTGACAAAATGCAGATTCCCTGGATCCCCAGTCCTTAATCTGCCAAGCTTATTGATTTATTTTACAATAAAAGTTACAAATGTATCCCCTTCTGCCCATATTTTTGTAAGTGGAACAATGTCAGTCTGGCACTGACAGTGTTCACTGCTTTAGCTGTTTTGTTTTCTCTAACCATTGTGGTCTGCTCAGCCTCACTGCTCACTTCTGTCCAGAGCAGCATCTCGAACTTATCAGAGGGTGTAAATCACAAAACACATTCTCAGGAGCGCAGCCTCATCACAGCCACCTGCACGGTGGAGCGCAGAGCAGAACGTCCAACTCAGCATGTTTCAGGAGCCTTTCAGCTCCCCTTTAATTTGTCCAGCTTGCTTCTTAAATAACAGTTTTGTGGGTTTACTGTCATGTAAGATGTTTCAGACAAACAGTACACTGTGGTTATCTAGTAAAAGCTGCAGGGGACTGTGTTATTGTCAGATAAAGCCAGTTCTGCTTAATAGGCCCCTAATGGATATTTAGGAGCAACTGAGTGCTCAAATTAATAATGTTTTTTTGTAATTTCATGTCTTTTCTCTTCAGAAGTGTTCTGGTCTGCTTCTGCTTGGGTGACAACCTGTTTTTATTTACTCATTTTAAGCTACTGGTGTAGATCATTTCAAAATTCATATTAGAATTTTACATTAAAATCATTTAATCAGCGCAGAGACTGCATCATAGAGATATTGATGTGAATTATTTATCTCAAAAAGCCATGACTTTGGTAGCAGTGCTTATAGATATTATATGTTTTTCCTACTAAAGGTTTTCAGTTTGATTTGTGTACAACTCAGTTCCAAAAAAAAAATTGTGATGTTGTGTAAAATGTCAATAAAAACAGAATGTAATCATTTGCAAATCTCATTCTCCCAAATTGTACACCTCATAGTAAACGTAATAAATGGTAAAACTAAGAAATTGTATAATTTTTGGAAAATTAAAAAGGTCATTTTGAAATTTTTTTTTGGCAGCGACACATTTCAAAAAAGTTAGAGCAGAGCAATGAAAGTTTGTAAAAGTATGTGGTAGGAGTAAGAAACAGCTGGAAGAGCATTTAGAAAAGTGCTATATAAGTGCAGTCCATTTACCATTTACCATAGTTTTCAGAGATGAATTAGAGTCAAAGAGCTCTTCAAGTAGTACCGTCCAGCAGGCTGAAGGATAATGTTCATCGTCATCAGCTTCCTTACATAAACTCAGAATCTCTCAAACTGTGAAGCAAATCAACAGATCAAGGTTAAAACATTACCATTAATATAAAAAATGGTGTTTACTTCTTTTTAACCATAATGAATTTACTACTGTGTGTTGTGCAGCTCGAAAGGCTGCCATAAAATTAGGTGCATGTTTCCAAATACCTGTAACATAATGCTAGACTCACTGTATGACCTTTCCCCATACATAGCTCCTGAGCTATACTGAGAGAAATGTAGATGAGACTCCAGAGCTTTTACGAGACTTGACGTAGAGATGTCGAAAGATAGCATCGCATTACGACATCATAAAACATGAGAAAGACACGAAGCGGTTCGGATGTCCAGGCCAAGCTGATGCATTTGTCATTTTAAAGAGTCACAAAGTAAGAGGGCCCTTTAAATTCCAGTAAATCTCAAATTTCAAGATTGGTCAGAGATTTAGGTGTCAGAAAATTTACCATCAGAACATGATGTCAGAGTCTGTTATGGAAAGAATGTGTGTCACTGAAAGGGAAAAAAATACTAAAGTCATGGCTACTAATATGGTAAAAAGCCTTGGTGTCCAAATGCAAAGGCCACTGCATAATTCCACCCATCATATCCCTCATGTTTGAAAATACATTCTAGTGCATGCTCTTTCATTTTTTGCAGTATAATTTGATTCTTTAAGATGCTCTGAATTATGCGTTGCAGCCATTAATTAATCTCAAAAAACTGATTAGTGTGTGAATAAAGGTCTAAAAATTATTTCTCTTGAGGAGGAGTGAACAATTTAGCACTTTGGTATGAAACATATTCTCACGTTATTTGTTTGGAAAATAATAAAGACAAACTAAAAATTAAATATACTATATAAGAAAACGTAACATAAAAAGGTATAAAAAGTGTTCTCTGTTGGGAGATTTACTGCCACCTGGCATCCACTTTTATTTTGAACAACCTAACTTGCGCATCTCGTCGTTTTTATTTTATTTTATAAAACATTTGAACACGTTTAAACGACACAAAACACACAAAACCACAAGACAAAATAAATACACAAAATACACTAAAAGTAGTGAGGAAGAAGAAGAATCGATCCAGGTGAACGGGATCGATTGATCGAGTCTGATTCCAGGGCTGTTTGCGCACACCTGGCCTGCCGCTCCCTGGAGCTTTCATTTTCCTGCTGCTGAACTCTGCCCTTCGCTACGCGTCACTTTTCCTCACAGGTGCCGTGAACGAAATGCGCTCAGGTCGGTTTCTTTGACTGGTAAAGTGAGCGAACCGAACTTTAAATGGTGCTCGGCCGCGTGTGACGTTCACGTACAGGTGGTTTAGGTGCGAAGGTGCCAAAGAAAGATGTTCTTGTTTCTGTTCGTTTTCCTTCAACTGCTGGGCGGCGGACATCTGGTCTGTTTGCGGAAACTACTCTCCGAACATGAAGAGACAGAAGGTTAGGAGTTTTACTTCTTTTCTTTTTTTTTTAACAACTTAATATTTTCCACCGACTAATTCTCCTTACACGTCTAAACGTTTCATAACTTGTGTCTGTGGCGCAGTGTTTGTTGACGAAGGGGACGCGAACTCGTTCCTGGGTCGCCACCTGCTGTTCAATCGCTTCGACTTCGAGATGTTCACTCCTGGAAACCTGGAGAGAGAATGTTATGAAGAGGTCTGCAACTACGAGGAGGCAAGGGAGGTCTTTGAAAACATCCCTCAAACTGTAAGTGACCTTTAAATAGAATATAATAATTATATATATATATATATATATATATATATATATATATATAATATAAATCCACCACGGCGTCACTGTATCTCACTGACGACTTGTATCTTTTACAGGATGATTTTTGGAAGAAATACACAGAAGGTAAGAGAGAACTAATGTAAACAAAGGGAGTAAAAATTATAATAATTGTGGTTAAAGAGTTACTTAATAAAACTAACATTTATGCAGTGAATTAGTGCATTTATTTCTTATATTACCACACAAGGATTTGGAAAGTTCTACATCTTGTTTTGCTACTTCTGTCGGGTACATCTGCTTTGAACATTCAACGTAAATTGTGTAATTTTAATCATTTTAGCTTCTGATCTGTCTTGTTTCGCATCTTTGCGTATGTTTTGATCCAATGGACACTTTTTGATATGTAAGGGGAAAAAAAAAAGAGGGTAAGCGTTGCAAAGTAGTTTAACAACTAAAATGTGCCTTGATTTGTACCTAGCTGCATTATTGTCTTTAAAATCCACTTTATCATCTGCCGAGTTCATAAAAGGAACAAAATTTCATGTCCGTTGCCATCTGCGCTGGTTTTACCCAACAATGCGACTTCACATCATAAACATGTTGCATCTCGATCTCGCTGCTTTAGTTTTATATTCTCTGATCATTGGAGGAGTGGTGGTGCAGAGGTTAGAGAAGGTGGGTCTGTTATTGGAAGGTCACTGGTTCAACTCCCCGCACTGTTAACGTCAAAATGTGTTGCCTCCACCCTCATTTGCCCAGTCTGGGCCCTTGAGCAAGGACCTTAACCCCCACCATCTGCTCCCCCGGGCACCCTAGATGGCAGCTCTCTGCTCCACACCGAGGGCTGTGGTAGCTCAGTGTTCTGTGGTTGCGTCAGGAAGGACATCCAGCGTAAAAATAATTGCCAAGTCTTCGTTAAAGGTAATTTGCTGTGGCGACTCCTGAAGAAGGGAGCAGCAGAAATAAGAAAAATAATAATTTTGCAGATCATTGGATGTCTTCCATGATTATCTGTTAGGCAGTTTAATAAACTTACATTGTTTAAAGTGACGGCTCTCCTCTCGGGGCCGTTTCCTCTCAATCAGCCAGGTGCAACGGCTCATTATTTTACTCGTTTGCATATTTATTGTGGATATTTGTTTTGGGAATGTAAATTACAAATTGATTTCAGTGTTTACTCATGATTGATTCCACAATTATTTATCCTAATTGATCTGCGGAGGAAAAAAAGAACGAAAACCATTTCAGGGTTTTTTTTTTTTTTTTTTTTTTTTTTTTTTTCCATCTTTACAAGCTAAAATATTTGCCTGTAAGTACTTGTGTGTCAGTGTTGGGATTTATTTATTTATTTATTCAAAAATAGAAATTAGAAGAGCTAATGGAACATTCTTCAGAAGTAATGAGTCTATTATTTTGTTTGATTTCTGTTAGGGAACCAAACTGTTCTGAAATTTCAGGTGAAAAAATAAATCCCTCCTGTGATAATTATTTCGTAGCTTGTAGCCCGGAGCGTATTATGAAACATAGTTTGAACATAATTTCTGATGATCCACAGATCACGCTAATGGCTCGTCTCGGGTCGATGTGACGGCTCTTTTGGTGGGAATCATTTCTGCTGTTGTGGCTGTTTTGATCATTGCCATCATGATCTGGTATTTCTGTCAAGGCAAATACAAGAGCAACTTTAGTCGTGGAAGGTGAGTCAAAGGTTGAATATTGTTTTTAAAACAAAGAGTACTGGTACTTATTGTCTTTTTATTGGTCCTTTTTCCTGAACTTTGTTGAAAAAACATGGATTTGTTAAGTGGATTCAGACTTGAAAAGATACGATGCTCTGAAAATAATTTGACCACAAGATGTTCTACAGATGTTGGTCTCTGTGGGAGTGAAACTACAGCGGGCGAAAAAAAAAACAAATTACAAGAAAAAGTGTCATGAGGTATTTCATGTGTTTACATACAGTCAAAAATATGACTCATCACATTCTGTTCCTGGACCTGACTGAGCTTAGCTGAATACTAAAAGACCAGGAAATTAAATTTAAGGATTTGAATAATCTACAAATAATTTAGCTATAAATGTGACATTTTAGAGCCTACAGGAATGCACTCGTAGAAATACCGAAGATTTCCACATTTATTGCTTTTGGATAAAGAACAGTGTTTCTCTGATTCAACACGCTCTTTAAAATGACTCGAATGACTGAAACAGTGCTCCTAAATCCTGGTCTTTGAGAGCCACATCCTGTTTTCGATATTTTTCTGCTTTGACACCTGATCTGAATGAATAAGTGATAATCAGGTTCTGCAGAACTTGAAGACCAGCTGAAGAGCAAAGAAAACACAAAAACTTGCAGGATGGTGGCCCTCAAGGACCAGGATTGGGCACCAATGGACTAAAACTATACTTTTTATATCTAACAAGGTTAAGTCAGGTCCTCTGGATGGATTCTTGTTGATACGTTTCATCTTTCATCCAAAAGACTTCTTCAGTCTGAGGCGCTGCAACAAAATCAGTCTTGTAAGCAGCACCTTCCCATGGTGGATCAACCTGTTTTCTGGTGACGGACAAAACTAGTAGTAGTAAAGGAGGACCATCAATCAGCCTAACAATTGATCGTTAGTGCCCTGATGGTCGCTTGATATTCACAGAGGGCTGAGTGATGCAATAACATTATAAGCAGTGTTGCCAGATCTCGCGATAGAAACAAGCAACCAGCTCTATGAAAACAAGCCAAAAACAAGCCCAACTGGCAACCCACCTACAGAGGCCATTTTTAAACCGTATAAACATACATTTATTATGGCATTACATATAAACAACAGCAAAATAATGCTAAACTCTTTGAATAACATACTTTTAAGCTCTGATTAAAAAAAAATGCATTTTGCATATGTATCAAATATGCAAATCATATTTTTTTCTGCATATTTAAAAAAAAAAACATCCTGACATCTGCGTGTAAGTGGAGCCCCCTAGTGGTTGGCCACAGTATGAGTGTTTGTTTGAGTGTGCGCCTCAAGTCGCCTTGTCAACTTGGGCGGAAGCGATGAACAGGAAACGGGGGCGTGGAAGGGACAAACTACCTACTACCACTCGTCTTTTGCTTTATTGTGCAGAGCTGGGAGATGATCAACTAGATTCACTCGGAAATAAAGTCAAGCCCAAATAAGCAACTTCACGTTCAAAACAAGCCCAAAAAACTGCAACCCGCGACTCACAAGATTTGCAAACGACTTTAGGGAAAAAAAAGCCCAAATCTCTTTATAATAAGCGGACTTGGCAACACTGATTATAAGAGGGGGACAGTTGAACACGGAGGCCTCCGCCCCTTTTTAATGATGGGCGGGTTCTCTTCACAAAGATGGCTTCCTTCCATAGTTGCTAAGTCCGCTAATTATAAGCGACTTTGGGCTTGTTTTTTTTTTTTCTTTTTCAAAAGTCGCTTGCAAATCTTGTGAGTTGCAGGTTGTGTTTTTTTGGGCTTGTTTTGAATGTGAAGTTGCTTATTTGGGCTTGACGTTCTTTCTGAGTGAAACTAGTTGATTTGCTTTATTGTGTGGAGCGGGGAGACAAAGACGAGTGGTAGTAGGTCGTTTGTCCCTTCCACGCTCCCGTTTTCCATTTATCGCTCCTGCCCAAGTTGGCGAAGCGACAGGCGCACACATAGACGTGTACAAATACGTCTGTGGCCGCACACCCCAAAAACTCATACTGTGGCCGACCACTGGGGGCTCCGCTCACACAGATGTCAGGATGTTTTGTTTTTTAAAATATGTAGAAAAAAAATTACATGTGCATAATGTATTTTTTAATCGGAGCTTAAAAGTATGTTATTCAAAGTGTTTAGAATAATTTTGCTGTTGTTTATGTGTAATGCCATAATAAATGTATGTTTATACTGTTTAAAAATGGCCTCTGTTTTACACAATGTGGTGGGTTGCCAGTTGGGCTTGTTTTCATAGAGCTGGTTGCTTGTTTCTATAACAAGCTCTGGCAACACTGCTTCTTTCACTCCTTTCTCAAACCATCGTCCCTCTCTATCAAGGATGTGCACATCTTCATCCCTGAAAGAGTGACCGCTGGCCTGCAGATGAGTGTAGACCGCAGAGTCCTGGACTGATTACTCTTCTGTGCTGGGCCATCGTTTTGTCCAGTGGCTGTTTAGTTTCCATGTTGTATAACTGATCACTGTTTAACAATGTTCAGTCAGGTCGTATGGACGGTTTCTTTTTTTTTTTTTTTTGCTGAGACGTTTCACCCTTTATCTTCCTGATAGGTGTGAAAATGACTGGGTAGCTGCTACAAAGGAGAGTTTGGTGGTCTCCATTAAATTAACTGAGTGGCAAAGAAGTTGCCTTCTCATTAAAAACCACGGAGAAGATATCCAGTTTAGAGTGATTTATTTGCTGTGTTTCTTCTGGTATTTACACACAAATACCTTCTTTCTTGTTGTTCCTTCTGGTGTTTACACAAACAGAAACTCAAACAGCAAGGCGTTGTCGGTGTCAGGAGAAAAAAATCTCCAACGCACAGCACGCAGCACTTTACAAAGAGCGGTGCGTTCACTAGCATCGGAACAGCCACGGTGCATTCAAGAGCATAGGAACCATGAAATTCAGAAACAAGCCATAACCAAACAGAACCGAGCTCGGTAAACAAGCAACTACACAACACTGTGCACTTTCTAACAGCTTTGTTAATAAAGGTTGAATGAATATACTTCATTAGAGTCAAAGTTTTTTGTTAAAGAGCAAGTCAGCCTTTCATTATGTTTGCTCTGGATGTGTTCTGTTTACTTTTCAAGTGCACAGCTGTATTTTTGGTTCTGTTATGCAGAAATAAAACTTTATTTTATTTTTCAGGCATTTCTTTTGTACAATTACAGCTGTTTGTTAATAAAGGTGCCCGTGTGACAACTGGGACTAAGCTTTGACTCAAATATATTTTTATTACTTTATGGAAAGAAAAATATCGAGATATCGTATAATTCATCTACTGAGGTATTAATTTTGGTCCATATTACCTAGCCCTAGTGGAAAGAAAAAAAATGTTTGCTGGTGATGAGATGCTTTCTGTGGTTCAAAACATCAAAGTTCATGCTCAGTAATCCAGGTAAAAATCCAACAATGTTCAGCCAGGTCATCTGGACGGTTTCTTTTTGTGCTGAGACATTTCATCCTTCATCCAAAGGACTTCATCAGTCCGAGAAGACACAAACTGACCACTGTCCTCCTGGCATTGAACAGCATATACAATATTACTTGGTTTGTGCCGGGGGAATGAATCAAACTCTGGAACAGAGCAAATTAACTTCCAATAGTTCTGTTTTGTACCTAAATGCATCAATTTGGTCATATAGTGAATGACAAAATGGTAACGTGGTCTCTCCCCTCACAGTTCCATTCAGGGGCGTCCCAGAAGGAGCAACGCTTCTCTAATAATGCAAAGGTTAGAAGAGGTCTCCAGACAGCCTGTGCTTCCTTCGGCATCTCCCCCTCCTCTGGAGGAAGTACCCCCCCCTGGTCTACCTTCATATTTTGAGGCAATCTCAGGAAACGGACCGCATGACGCACCGCCTCCTCCTTATCCTGGGTAATATGCACCTGTATTCTGAATGACTTTACCAGTCATGTTTTATTAATCCAAATGAGCCACTTGGATAAATTACATTTTCTGATCAGAACCTTTTATCTTTTGGTTTTAGCTCAAGACCTGGGAGTGTTCGGATATAGGATCTTCAGACAAGTCCAAATGAAATAGTTTTCAGCTTTATGTTGTATACGCTTTTATTTTTGTTTTCCATTTTGACAAGATTTTGAATGATGCTTTTCTACATCAATAATCTAACCCTGTTTCAAGATTTTAAATTATTTTTTTTACATAACAGAAGAAGGTGTTAAACTATTTTAGATATCTTAAAGGATCACTTGGAATTAAGGATTTTGGACCACCTTTGTAGGATCTACTGGTTTTTTAGACTGGCGGGAGTCTTTGCCAACAGTTTTTCCTCCACAGATTCTGAATGAGATTCAAAGTCTGGAGACATCTTGAAAACTTTGGGTGTGTTTGGTTCGGCTTTGGATGTTCTTGCCCGTTAAATCTCTAAACCCCATGTTCTTGGCAGGTTGTCTGTTTCCCTTTTAAAATATTTTCCTTTTAACCGATTGTGCTCCTGAAACATTTTTGTCTTCCTCTAGAATGTAAGATACAAATAGGTAAGAATCATCAAAGTTCTATTGATAATGTTTGGATGTAATTTTTTTTTTTTTAATCAGTGAAAAGAGCAATTCTTTACAATTAATAATAAAAACATCCAAGGGTTTGCAGTGAAACTTAAGCAGCTGTGGATCTTTCAGCCCTACAGTAAACGGAAACTAGCTTTTATCTTAAATATATGGTAATGTTTGAAGTTTTGTCTCTCCAGTTTGTGTCTTATTTAAAACTTCTTTCTCTTTTTGTCTTAAATACCTTGTAATTCTGCTGGATACACTTTGCAATACATTTGATGTAGGTTGTTGTTTTTGAATATGTAAAAAAAACCTGAATTTGTTTATAGTGGGAGCTTTAGCTTGCTGTAACACTATTTGGGCTTTACAGGTGTTTTATATAAGCATATACAGCAAAACCAAAGATAATGTGAAGATTTAATACCACAGCACAGCTGTATTGGTTGCTGTGATGGAGGCAGACTGACATGTACATTTGTTCCCTTACAAGAAAAGATGTTAACAAAAGCTGGTTTCATTTACTTGAAGGTAAATCTAAATGAAGTGCAAAATGTTTTTTTTTTTTTTTTGCTCTGGTTTTCTTAGGTTTAGTGGGTTTCACTGTTTATTTTCACATAGGCATCTTTACTTTTCGTCTTTGAAATGTGCATATTTTCTTGCTGCTACAGTATTTGGTGTTATGTTGTGTGTACTTATATACAAAGTCCTTTATTTTTCCATTCGGTGTCTGTTATGAATTATTAAATGAACTGTGATCATATAAGCTGTTTTACGTTGTTGTTTTTTTTAACTTTTGGAATTGTATTTTACTGAAGATATAAAACTACACCCTTTCATGAACTGAAACATGCATCTAACACAAAAGCTGTAGCTTGAATGGATATTTTGTTGTAGGAATTATTCACTAAATTCTCACTGGTTTCATTGAACCAGAATGGTCTGTTAGATTTAAAAAGAGTGAGAATTTGGGATTCTATTAAGTGTTGCAAAACATAATTAAAGCAGAACTATTGTTAAGTTCTATTTATTTTCAAGTCAAGTTTGTCATTTCCATCACGTGGTACATGAGGTGGAACGAAATTATGTACTTAGGGTGCCAGTTACATCCAAAAATGGCAAAATATAAAGTGTAAAAGGAAACAGTGTATAAGGATCTAAGATATAAACTAAGATATACACCAAACGGTATGCTGAAAGAAGATCTACGCTAAACACTAATGATGCAAAACAATATGGCATGTCAACAGCAGCCTGAACATGAGTCTGTGGTGAGCAGATGGGTATTAATGAATGCAGCAGCATGAGATGAGCAGCCTGATAATCAGCAGCACATATACGTCACATCAACAATTAAAGTGGCATTATAGTGATTTTTTTTTTCTTTTTTAGCAGTTTAAGAAAACCATTATTTAAAGTTTTCTTTGTAAGTTTTATACACTCTTACATAGATGTGATAAAAGATTGAACTACTGGCATAAAAGCAACATTTCAAGTTGCCAATAAGCTGTTTTATTGAACAGCTAGAATTGCTTTCTGAATGTTTTTTTTTTTCCCCTGTTTTTATCATGTTTTTATTCCGGCTCTAATCCGTTTTAGTTTAAATCTTTTGGCACTTTTGTGTACCAGCAGCCCATCACAAAAACAACTTATTTCAACAATTTGTAAAAACAAATATGTAAAAGAAACGGGGATAAAAGTTTTAGAAAATACTGTAATACTTTAATACTAAGGTGATCCCTAAATAGGTGAAGACTTGTCTTATAGTATCAGCTGAAGAATGATGAATCTTTCAGGCTCTGTGTTGGTTGTTAGATTTTTTTTATTATTATTATTACTTCTTAAACACATTACTTTTCAAACTTCAATTATTTTTAACTCATCCTACAAAAAACTTGTAAACTCACAACTTGACATCTTTAACGGTAATTAATTTTAAGCCTAAACTTCCAACTGATGTTAATTTTAAAAGAAAGAATAAATGTTCACTTTGGCGCATGAATTAATTATTCTATAATCATATTTTGTTCACTCGTAATTTTTCATGTATATGTTTATCCTTAGATTTATTATTTTCATGCATGGTTCTGTACAAGGTATATATGTTTTTTCTTGGCTAGGTCACATTTGTAAATGAGAAATGATTCTCTTAAGCACCTGGTGAAATCTTATTTTGGCCTTTCCCTCTTCAGGAGTCACCACAGCGAGTCGTCATCCTCCATCTCACTCTGTCTTACTACAGCTGACTTTGATTCCTCTTCTTTCAAGTGCATACCTCCACCTCTCCAAGTTCTCTTCCACCTGTTCCCTGCTCTCCCCACAGATCACAATGTCATCTGCAAATATCATAGTCCATGGGGACTCCTGCCTGACTTCATCTGTTAGTCAGTCCATCACCAGAGCAAACAAGAAGGGGCTCAGAGCGGATCCTTGATGCACTCCCACCTCCACCTTGACTATCTGTCACTTCTACAGCACATCTCATCACTGTCCTGCTGTCCTCATACATGTCATGTACCAGTTTAATATACTTCTTTGCCACTCCAGATTTCCTCGTGCAATGCCACACCACCTCCCTCGTTTTCCTGTCGTATGCTTTTTCTAAATCCACAATAAAGTTCTTTCTGACCCTTTCTGTACTTCTCCATCAGCATTCTCAAAACAAAGATGGCATCTGTGGTGCTCTTTCTTGGCATGAAACCATACTGCTGCTCACAGTCACCTCTTGTCTAAGTCTAGCTTCCACAACTCTCTCTTAGATCTTCGTGTGGCTCATCATCTTAATTCCCCTGTAGTTGCTACAACTCTGTATATCACCCTTGTTCTTAAAAATGGGCACCAGCACACCACTTCTCCATTCATCAGGCATTTTCTCACCCTCAAATATACCATTGAATATTTGAGTCAAAAACCTCACTGCCACCTCTCCAAGACATTTCCAAACCTCCACTGGTACGTCATCAGGCACTGCCTTCCCCTTCTTCTTTTCAGAGCTTCCTGAAAATAATAGGTCATGTCTGCCTCAACAATCTTATTTCACCCCACTATTTATTAAAGAATGCTCTTCTACGTTAGTCTATAATATTTTATATTAAAGTTCTTAATTGTTGTTGAGTGTAATTATAAGTTAAGCATCATTGTTGTATTAAAGTTCATGCTCAAAAATCCAGGTAGACAATCCAACAAAGTTCAGTATGGTCATGGATGGTTTTTTTTTTTTTTTTTAGACGTTTTGTCCTTCATCCAAAGGACTTCTTCAGTCAGAGGAGGCACAACAAACTGAGTCCCACAAGCAGCACATCCACATAGTGGACCAACCAGTTTGCTTGTGAGAAGATGGTTTTTGGGGCCCACCCTCTTCCCCCTCGAGGCAGCCATGTAGTGAAAGTGGTTCAAAACATCAAAGACTTAACTTTATTGGCTTCATGATTTATATTTTGACTGGTCTTCATGACATAGCAGTGAGTAATTATTTAATTACCCCCCCCCCCCCCCCACACGTTGTAATCAATGTCACACCTCTTACATTAGATAAAGTTTTTATTTTGGGGGTATGGTCATGTGAATTTTTTTATTTTATTTTTACATTTAGTGTCATCTTATTTTAACGTTGACACTACAAAGGCTGTATTTTTCAGCAGTGATGTAACAGCATTCTCCATTTTTATGAGAAGTTTTCGCTTAGCCCGCTAGCTGCAGCCATGTGTCCCTGCCTCTGCCTCGCACAAACTCAGTCCCTCGAGGGTAAAGAGATACTTTTGTTCGGGACACAGCAGCCTGGCGTCGGAGACTGCTAGCTTTGACTCCGTTTGGTCGGTTGGTCTGACCCGAGCTGTTGCGAAGATGTGTGCCCGCTACTTCACGAAGCTCCTCTGGGGAAGAAGCGAATCGTTCACCGGATGATGGACAGGAACTACCCGAGCTCCAGCTTCGCGGACGCGCTGGCTGCACCAGCACAGACCGCGGCTTCGTGGGCCTATGACCGCGGCTCAGCTACCATCAAACCAAGGTAAGGAGATGAAGGAGAGGGCGGGACACCTTCCCAAGGAAACCTCGATGATAGAGGGCCTAGCTTGAATCTTGGGGCGAACAGCAAACTTTGCTGTTTGTTGTCAGGAACAGTGATTTTGGAGAAAAATGTCTAAATGGAAACGGAGTTGTAGAGCTCGACTTGTCAGTGGGTTTTACCTTGTTGTTGTTGTTGCCCCCCACATTAAGTTTTCGCTAGCAAACCGTCTTCTCAGCATGGCCATGGACTGTTGCCAAATAAATAAAAAAACGAGTTAATTGAATATGTATTATGAGTTGACCAGAGCTGCCCACATTTACATTTTACGCGCATTTTCCTTGATCCATAATTGACCCCTGACGCCAAAACATGTACGCAGCTAATAGTTTCATCACAAGTGAATGTTTAAGGCGACGTGTCGGTATTTGTATTTCTGCCATTGTTTCATGTTTAAAAACTCTACAGCTGTATTTTAATGTGCTTATTTCAAAGATAAGGCAACAACTACATCTGTAAACGTTTTAAAGGCCCAAGTTAGTCTTCTATGTGCGTCTGATTTTCTTTGAATGAAGACTGCTACTTTTAGCACTGGTGTTTCTAGACATCAAGTAAAGTGCATCAGCTGATATTTAATTATGTCATGTAATTCGTTTAATTTTCCACTATTTCAAGTCAATCCCTAAGAGAATAGTTGCATGATTTCAGCTATCTTTTGTCAAAAAGACCACTAAAGAGCCAAAATGACCCCCTTTATAGTCTGTTCTCAACAGATATGTTTACTTTCTGACTGAAGAACACTATCAAATTTACTGGATTTAATTTAATGAGAGCGTAAGTTATTATTTCCAGAGATAAACAGATGTAAGCACATCCCACTGTGCAAAGCTGAAATCTGAATGCTTAAATTATGAGAACCTGCTAGTCTAGATACCTGTTTAAGAATAATATGTTACAAATAAATGATGTAAGATCTGACCTCCTGTAAAAATCACATGTGGAGTTCCTCAAGGTTCTGTACTTGGACCGGAGTTATTTATTTTATATGTGAATGACTTGGTAAATGTGTCAGGACTCCTTAAACGTGTTCTGTTTGCACACGATACCACATTTTTTGTTTGGATAAAGATCTAGAACGGATGTTGGAGTTGATGCAGACAGAATTTATAAAAATACAGAAGATTATTATTGTTTGAATTCATTTTTTGTTAAAAAGGGGCAGATATAAGTTTTTTTTTTTCTTTCTGCTGCCTTTCATTTTATTTGTGATTGTATTTCCTATTGTATATAGAATTGTTTTGTTTAAAAAAACGAATAAACTTTATAATAATAATACTCAAAACTTTGCAGACATTAGGTGGCAAGTTTTCCAGCAGGTTTATTTTCTCAATACCTTCAAATAATGCTTGTTGCATAGTTTTACAAATGTTTTGTCTGGCTTGAAAAGATTAATAATGGTATCAACTCCTGCAACAATAATAAAAGCATTCAACAGATAAAACGAACTATTTATAGCACTGGTATGATCTAACATAATGTACTGATAAAATATTTATCCAGTATTTTCACTGAGCTATTGTTACTTTTTATCTGCAAGCAGGATGTGGGGCCATAGTTTGTAAGACAGCAAATACGTTACAGACTCAACACCTTAAATAAACTCTGTAAATATAGATAAATCATTTAGATGCTTTATTTTAAGCACATTCTTCTGAGGGTGCCTGAATATTGACATTTTTGGAAGGTCAGTAACTTTTTCTGAAGCTTCAAGTGTTCCCAAAAGCATTAGCATTTTGGAAAATATCAAGTTTGTGACAGTCAGCTATATACTGGATTTAACTAATGTGACTAAAACCAATTTTTAGTTTGTGAGGTGATAAATAATGCAACAATCATTCTTACATTGAAGATTTGTGGAAAACTTTGCCATCTTGTAGTACTTAATTACTGAACTGTTTACTCTCCAAACTAAAGCCTTTTTTAAAACACGTCATTTAATTTGTTTTGTTGATTCATTTTATATTTTCATGCTTAGCTGGGTGGCTCATTGTTGCTTGTGAGGATGAGAGAACTTCAGAAAATCACGTTTGTTTTTTGTATACATAGTCCTAATTATGGTGCAGCACACCTTGATGGAGAGCTCCTCCAGCAGCAAAGCTACACCTCCACACACCAGCCTCCCACCTACACTACAACAAACATCCCAGTAGCTGCACGTGAGTTACTGATCTTTTGAATTTTGGTTTGAAAGGGACAATTTATCTGACAAGCTGATATTACTATACTGTAATGGCATTTTTAACTGATAATTTTTTTTAGTATTTTTTTAAATTATTTTTATTTTTGTTTTTACCATCAGGAACATTTGAGTCAGGCAGAAGTACTCCTGTGACCTCAATCATGAGCTTCCTGTCATCCATGGAGTCAAGAAGTCTTCAGGCTGGTCCTGTTAGTGCCTCATTGCTTCCTCCTTTTAAACCTCAGTCTTGGCCCTCTGGTAAAAACCTTCTTATACTATTCTTTGTATGCTTGTTCAATTCAGCAAATTGTTATTTTTTTCCTCTGATTAACATCATTTGATCTGTTCCATGCAGGTACCAACTCCTCCACAACAGAGTTGTATATGACTGGTGCCCTGCCATCCACAGCCACTTTCCCCTCTCCTGCTGCTCTGTCATCCTTTCAGCACACTGGTGCCTACCCTTCCAGGAGTTATGCTTCTAACTCTTCCCTGGCTCTGTCAGACCCTGCCTTCAGCACTTCCACCAATGGCCTGTTCCCTCACCATGACCCGCTGCTACATCTCAAACCAAGCCAGGCTGTGCTTCCTGTTGCCCTGGCCTTCAATCATCTTTCTGGGCCATCTCTGGGCTCAGCTCTGCCTGTCCAGTCTTCCACATACCGCTCAGCCCAGGAGTCTGCCCCCCACCTCCTGCAACCTCAATATAACCTTCTTCCTTCTGTCCTGCCTGCCTCTCATGGTGTCCCACAGCCCTATGGGGCTACCGTTTTTTCGAACTCAATTGAAAGAGCTCTTCAGCGTGAATGTAGTGTGATCAAGCACCACCAGAGGCCTTCAAGTAACCACATAGCCTCAGAGGAGTTGCCTAATCCAGAGCACTCTTTGCAGGAATACTATGGCACTGGGAGTGACGCAGATGTGTCCTACCAGGAGGACCCATCCCGCAACACTCCGGTACCCTGCAGTCCCTCCTCAAGATCAGACTCTACCCAAGTAGTCAACGGTTCTCCAAAGTCTAAAACTGATTGCACAGCACAAGCTAATTCATCTGCTTCATTGCTGAAAGGTGAAGACTGTTCTTCCAACCTAGCTTCACACCCTGCTGAGAATGAAGAGAGTCACCCTCAGAACCTAAGAATGAGGTCTCCTGAGCACTATTCTTCCCCTGCTCAGAAACACAGCTCGGTGATTGCCAGTCAGCAATCAGTTCAGCTATCAAACCTAATGTCCAACACTTTGTCTCAAACCTATATCACACCACACACACAGTCCCAGACCTCCAACTCCCCCCAAGAAAAACTTCCTTCCCTTTTCACTACTCTGCCTTCCCTTTCTAGCCACTGTGATAATGTGGCTTCTGATAGCCAAATTTTTGTTTACTCGTCCACTCCTGGGCTAAGCCAAGAGCAGGGGGTCCAGCATGAACCCCAGGTCCATAGCTTGTGTCAAGAAACCTTCTCCGAGAGCTTCTCAACCTCCCACTCTCTAGGTGCGTCAAACTTAACTTTTACATCTCCATCACAGGAGCAAGATTCTGTAACGTTGTTCCAAAGCTACAACACAGGACAATCCCTCAATTCTCTGTATTCACCTGATTGTGTACAGAGTCTTCCATCAAGCTCTACTGTAGATTATAGCCACATGCAGGACTCGCTGGGTGGTAAAACGCATCACAGTCTGTCCCATCAGCAGACACACATCCAAAATGTTTTGTCTGTATCATTACCTACCTTCTCATCTGCTCAGTCCTTACAAGATGCCATAACGGCTTCTGTACAGAACATAAAGCCGACATATGCCAAACAGAAACTTGAAGAGCTCCCTTTACAGGACATCGAGGCTCTAAGACAAGTCTCTATGATATCTGTTGCTGATAACAGTATGGTGTCTCATAATAATGTCATCTATGTTGTTTCAAAAATAGATAATCACAAACCACAAAGTGTTATTCGAAATAATTCTCATTCAGAAGAACAGTTTATAGGGCATAGTCATATGGGTTCAGCGCAGGTAAAGAATGAGCATATGGGTTCTGTGAGCCAGCAGCAAATCTGTTTAAACAGTGGCAGTGCTCCTGAAGCTGCAAACACAACAAGTTCAAACTCAGTCGTTCCCTCGCATGGACCTCTGTGTTCAGACCAACTCAAGCAGCCCCCTGTTCAACTGAGTTCTCCTGAGTCACATCAACAAAACCAACAAAGCATTAGTCAATCTCAAAGCCAAATTCCAGCAGCCCGCTCCCAGTTTATCTCACTTCCCAGCTCTCAGGTTCTTCTTGAGTCCAACCAGATGATTCTGGTCCAGCAGCCTCTTGTCCACCACAATGAGAACACTTCAAAGTTGGTATCTTTGCAAGATATTCACCCAGCTCAGTGTTTGGGTTCAGCTCACGTGCAGTACCTTCAGATGGACCGAGACCTACTGGGTTCCAGTGTCACTGAAACTCAAGCTCAGCAGGTCACAATCATGTCTGAACCAAACTCGGAATGTTCCTCTAAGCATCATTACACCCAGGCTGCAAGTCAGCAGCCAGTCGACACCAAGAACCAGTTTAATCTTCACTCTATTTGCTTCCCAGACTCTATGCTGCTGGCAGACGACAGAAATATTCTGTCAAATGTCGACGACATCCTGGCTGCCACTGTGGCAGCCTGTGGTGTCGCACCACAAGACTTTGTTAAAGCTACATCTTCTGAGGTGGAAATGGCAGGAATTGCAACTCCTGTTGATTCCAAAGGACATCTCCAGACTGTTGATATCAGACAAATGTCACCTAGTTTCTCGTCAGCACAACATCCAATCATAACTAACACTAACGGTCACAACATCAGCATGACACTGAACCAGGCCCAGATTGCTACAAACAGTCAGGGTCAGCCTGTTCACCACAACAGTACTGCTGATCTGAACACAAATGGAAATGGAAGGAACTCTGAGATCGACTACAACTCGCTAAGACAAGCGTTTGATCCTTCGGGTGTCCAGAACAGAATTGAAGGGAGCGCAAACTGTGCTGAAACACAAGACGTCTTGATAAAATGCCCTGTTGGTGAGGGCTCTCCAAATAAGAAGGCACGGTCTAAGTCCTCAACCAAACCAGGAGCTTCTGAGGATGATGGAGCGGCAAGAGCAGCCAAGCGCAGTGGACAAACAAAGCGTCAAAACTCCAGGGGCAGTGATGTCAGCTCACCATCTGCTCCACAGAGTACTTCTGATGGTTGTCCACTACAAGAGAGAATCAGGCAGAAGATTCGTGAAGTGGAAGAGAAACAGCCAGAGGTCAAAACTGGCTTCATTGGTTCCTTCCTAGATTTCATCAAATCTGGCCCCAAGCAGCAAAACTCTCAAAGTCCCGCAAGAACAATTAATCGCCCGAGAAAACCCTCCACCTCATCTAAACAGGGCTCTCTGCCTGCTTTGCCTCCCAAACTGCAGACTCTGCCTGCGCCTTTGCTTCCCCAGGAGAGTCTAGGAGCGAGCTCTCAGCAGAAACGGCTGGATGAAGATCTGCAAAGGAACCTGGAGACTCTGCCGTCATTCAGCTCAGATGAAGAGGAGAGCACTGGGAAGAACCAGGCTCTAAGGAACAGCATAAGCTCCGCTCTCTCAGCTCTGGATGAAACTTCAGATCGGAGAACAAGGACAGGTAATTTCATCCTGCTTGAGCCTGTCAGGTGATGTGTCGTGTTGGCACATGCAACTTTAAAATAGATCATAATGTAAACACAATCTAGTAAAAATAAATGGAAGGGATTGCCTGAGCTTTCAGTGTACCGTCTTTTCTGCTATACATGTTGCACCGCCCTATAAGTTGCATCAGTCCAAGTATTTCTTATAAAGTGGAAAAACCCACAAATATGTCGCTTTGCCGTATGCGTCACATCTATTGTGCGTCACTGCTGATGTGTCTCATTTGTTATGCGTCACCGCTGAAAACCCAGAAATGTGGGCCGAACCCGGTAATGTAGGCCGGTGTTGTGCCAAAAATTGATGGGCTGTCAAATGATGGCCACAGGAGCATGTACGGGAAGACTTTAACAAGAATTTAAGAAGATTAACACTTAAAAACAATAATTTTTTTGCTTGAAATTAAAGTGAAGGTGTGTCTCAGTGTAACTTTAACTTAATAAATGCACTTTGACGGTCAAATCAGCTGTATTTTGCTGGGGCGGTACACCGAAATGAAGCTGATTCGGTTGCTCCAGGCAGAAGACGGTGAGTCTTTGGCAAACCGATTGTGTCATTAATAGCCACTTTTACATATTACATGATACAACGGCATGCCATTCTGCTCTAGTGCCATCTAGTGGCTGAAAATGGTAGTGTTCAATTTTTTCAGACAGAATGAATGAAAACTGTCATATCTCAACCAAAAATTGGTTTATAAATATGGGACAAAAATCCATAAATAAGTTGCTTCGGTGTGTAAGTCGCAGGGCATGTAAATTGTGCAAGAAGTGCGACTTGTACAGCAAAAAATCTGGTAGCCACACAACATTTTCACTTCTTCTTGGGAATAAAATGTTAACCAGAAGCAAAAGAATCATAAAAATGACAAAAACATAAAGATTTAAACATTTCCTTTAATCATTTGTGTTTTGTTTTGTTACAAAACATTACCTGCAACGTCCGTCCATTATCTTTAACCACTTCTTCCTTTCAGATAACCAAATCCTTGGTTCAATGATGAAGCCAGACCAACCTCCCACCACCGCTCCCACCGTCATGCTGCTCTGCTTGCCGCAGGTATCCACGCCTGCACCGACGGTAACCCCAGTCTTAGGAGTGACAACATTTTTGACCAAAGAGGAGTTTAAAATTGCCCCAGCTGGCAAAATGGCTGTGCAGCTGACGAACGTGGCCATGGAGGGCCTGACTGATGAGGAGCTGTCTGACAGCGGAGGAGAAGGAATGTATCGAGAGAGGGACGAGTTTGTCGTCAGAAAGGAGGACATTGAGGCCTTGACGGTATTTGAAGTTGGAACATTAGCAATATTCTGCAAGGTTTCTCTTCAGAAGAGCTTATTAGATTCACAAGAATTGAACAGTTTATAAATGTAAGAACTTATCAACTTCAATTTGTTTTAGTTCCCAGTTTGCAACACACATTTAGTATTGAGAGCACTCATTAAGATTATTTGTTTCCTAAAAACAATTTGGTTAGCAGAAATGCACACAGCTGGTTAAAACTGAAAAGCTACATAGATGAGTGTGCTCATACAAGTTTCAGAGTCATGTCAGAATGAAACTGCAGATTTTTGTTGCATATCTTACAACATATGCCACTAAAATCTAATGAAACTCCTGTCTCGCTCTCAGCTGGGCTCAGCAAAAGATAAATGAAAAGAAATTTAAAATATACTTTGATCTAGGCCTGTCGCGATAAACAAAAAATCAGTTAATCGCATGATAAATGAAAATTATCAACCTCATTTCCATTTATCAGCTTTATCGTTTCTTCATGTGTCTCTTTCTACTGAAGACACTGGATGATGAAAAGCTCAACTCCGGTGCTTTTCACTGATCCCTCCCTTTCTCTTTTCACTGTAAAATCCGTTCTAACCATCCAAAATTGTGTTTTTTGGATCGTTAAAAGCAGCTAAGCTGAGAAGCTACGAGCTAAGCTAACAGGCCGACCTCGGGGAACAAAACTCATTCTTGTCGAAGCTCCAAAATTCACGGTTGAAACCTGTGCCTTTGTGTAAACAGTTGTTTTTCTCTGCAAAAAGAAGCTGAGAACTTGTTTACTGAATTTGTTTTTGTTTAATTAAAAACTTTGTGTGAAAAATGCTATGCTAAAGAGCTCAAACCACACCGAGCATACGCCATTTTGAGAACCGGACAAAAAAGAAGGAGACAGCCCTTGTCACGTCAAGGGTCCTCCCTCCCATTTTTCTTAAAGAGGCACGCCGCTCGTTCCCTCACTATCCATCCTTTGGTTCAGTCTTCGACTGCCATTCGGTGGTCAAAAAAGGTACTACACTCAAAATAAAATCAAAATTTCTTCTTAAATTTGACAATAATTACTAATTATTGTCAAATTTCAAACAATATTATCGTTTATCGCAATAATTTCTGCGACAGTCGCCCAGGAAAATTTGTTATTGTGACAGGCCTACTTTGATCAGATCTGCTTTTTTTTTCTGTAAGTGAACTTCTGCCACATCTTGAACCTAATTTTGTGCTGTCTTGCATGCGTGTCTGTAGGCAACAATGACGGCAGGCACTGAGCCTCCTGCTATTTGGAAAGTCCAGAAGGCTCTGCTGCAGAAATTTGTGCCAGAACTGAGAGATGGAAAGAGAGTCTTCTTTGCCACTAACAGTGTAAGTTACAAAAAGTATATGCAGTTGTGTTCTGACCTTTTGCTATGATACACATTTTATCTTTGTGTTTGTAGTACTTAGGGTACTTTGGTGATGCCCAGAACATGTACCAGAGAGTATACGTGAAATTTTTGGACACTGTTAACAAAAGGGAATATGTGCGAGTTTGTAGTAGGAAGCCACGCTGCAAACCCATGAACTCATTGAGGTACGCATGAAGTGCTGACTGATGTAGGCAACTAAATTAAATTTAATGGTTCCGAGTTTTAATTGCTCTCATTCTACCTCACAGGGGTTCTCAGGTTAAAACTCTGCTTGGCTTGACAGCTCTACCGTCCTCAGTTTTCCAGAACCAAAAGCCCCGAGTCAAACAAGTAAAGCCCAGGGTGGAGCCGCCGCCCAAGAAGAGGAGGAAGTGGAAGGAGGAGTTTTCCTCCACGGCCTCGAGATCATTTGCAGAAGAAGGTGTTGAAGATGATCATGAAGGAGCCTTTAAACGTCATTTTTGAAATGTATCTGGAAAACTCTTAAATCTTAATCCTCTTCCTGTTTTTTTTTTTTTTTCCTCTTCTTATCTGTTACACTCTCAGAGTTAAACCATTCGTTTGCTTCAAGGCCCCTGAACACACGAACCATGAAAGAGACGTTCAGGAGCTTCGTGGAGCTGCTCATCAGCATCGCCTTGGACGAAGACGTGCTGACAGCTCTGGAGAAAACAAATGGTTGGTGATCTAAATTTTGGATGTTGCACAAACGGTCCGAGTTAAGTTATGCTCAGTTTGGGACGTGCACTTGTTTCGTTTCAGACGTGTTGTTGCTGCCTCATATGAAAAGAGTAGACGGGATGATCGTTGACAACAAGAAACGCTTGCTTAACAAACTGCACATAGGGCAGGCCCTGAAGGTATGTTTTTGTACCTGTTGAAAGTTGTGCTTGGTGTGCAACTTGGGTAAAATAATAAAATTAACAAGGTTTAATTACGCAAACGGAAAGCTGCCGTACAGAATCCTCGTTCTCATTGTGAAGCTAACTATCTTGTATGGTTCAGACTGCTCTGGACAGCTTCCCAGAGATCTCAGTGGTGACTGAGTTGAAGAAGGACAAGGAAACGCCCGCCTTTAAGGTACGCCTCAGTGGAAAAGCATACAACAAGAAGACTATGAAGCCCTACAAGATGCCGAACAAAGTGCCTCAGGTCAGAAGACGTTTCGGTCTCATTCTTTGTGCTTTATTTGTCCAGCAGAGGGCGCAGTGTTCCTTGCATTTCTTCATTTTTGTTTTCAGTCAGAATATTTAGGTTTGGTTGTAATCACAACAGTCCCAGGCAGGAACTTGTACTTGAAATTATTTAACATCTCATTCAGTGCTGTTGTTTGTTTTATTGAGTAAGAATAAAAAAAGGATCATGTATTACTTTTGATACAGTTTGTTAAGATAACTCCCAAGAAACAACATCCCAACACATCATTTGACTTAACTGCTTTGCACTAAAGCTCTCATGTGCGTTTCTGCTTTCTTGGTCATTATTCTGAAGAAAACATAACTGAATATCCTGAAAGCGTTCTAACAACTTGTGTATTTCCCTCCTCTAGGAGTACGCAGCGGACCAGCAGAAAACTCAGTGGTTCTCTCTGTACCACTCTTTGCAGCATTACAAATACCACACATACCTCATGTGTAAGGACGAGGTAGGACATTTTGGATAGTGTGTGTTAATCTGCTAAATGAGTGTGATTTCACAAGGAAGATTTTGCAGGTTTAACTTTGTTTATAAATTATTTTGATGGATTAATTTTTTTCGGATTTTTAATATTCTTTCTTTGTGCTTGTTTCCTCCAGATTGCATCTCTCTGGGGTCAGGCAGGAGACCTGGGCCAGGAGGAAACTGTACAAAAGTGTCTGCAGAATGGAGCTTGGGTAGAGAGGCTCTTTGACCGCTTTGGGGAGCTAATCAGTCAAGTGCAGCAGGTCTGCAGATGATTTCGCCACGGCAAATTAACTTTAAAACGAGGAAAAACACAAACAGACAAATGGATGCTTGAAAATCACTAAAGGCCACAGATATGGATGGGATTTGTCCTTCAAGCCACAAAGAGGAGTCAGGAGCAGAAGTGCAAATTTACACTCTTACAAGAAACAACTTGATCAACAGAGGATGCAGACTTTATTTTGAAAAGACCTCCATATAATGAGACTGTAGTTTTAGGAGCCCACTTTTTATGGGCCTTTTTCTAGATTTATTTTTATGTTTAATTATCCCTCTCTTTCCCATTAAATGTCACATCATAACACTAAACTATATTTATGCACTAGAAGGAAAGCAATCAGGATAGGAACTAGAGCACAACAATTAAAATGCAGGAATTTGACTGCCTACTGTTTTAAACAAGTCATTCATTTAAGTAGGCTTCCATACAGAGTTGATATATTGTAAAAGAAAAAAAGGCTATATATTATATATAACTAGTTATGTACTGTTTGCAAAACATCCATTTTGTAAGCGTGCCAACATATACATAATGTACATTTTGTAGAAAAGAAAACTGCAGCAGTCTTAGTTTTTAAGTTTTGTGCATCAATTTCTTCACACAAAATGCATTTTAAGAGTCAGTGCAGTTCCACCGCTGCACATCACTTGTCAGAGATCAGTACCTTGAATTATTTTAGGGTAGAATGAAATAAACAGAAGTGGTCTTTAAATTGCTTTGCACACAAAAACCAACATTTTATTACAAAACTATATTTTTTTGCAGAGGTAACTGTTCTCTGTCCACTGCAATTTTTAAAGTCGTGTTTATTTTTATTGTCTTTCCACGATTCTTCACACAGCTGACTGTCAGAAATTTTGTGATATCAGAAAATAATCTATAAACATGCAGTTTGTAAATAAAGTGGCACATGTATTAGATGTGTTCCGAGTATGTTCTGTGTTGAAGTGCGCTCTTCTCTTCTGAATTCACAAACTTGGATGCTCACTATTGAGCTCTCACATTAAACCTAAACAAAACTACTATTTTGTTAAAACGGGGAATAAACCCAACACATCCATGTTATTCTAGAAATGAAATCTGCTAGAACTTAGGTCTGAATATAGTCTCCACATGTAAACAAGTCAGAAATATTTTAGCTGGAAACGACAAGTCAACCATTTTCACTGAACAGCTTTGCTCCTATTTTGAAGGGGGGGGGGGGGGGACTCTTGGCAGCATTCCATAATTCTTCTGTTACCCTTTTAAGATCCACAAACTAGAGGGGTCAGTTAAAGTTAAACTTCACCGGCATGCTGAGAGGAGTGTGCAGTCAATATTGGCTCACCTCCTTCAGAAGGACACGGCAAGAAGGAGAAACTCAGCGGTGCTCGCCCACCACACTCTCATGACCCCACTGTGCGCTGCGACTGGGCGGCTGACTTTGTGTTGTCTGAAAGGGTTTTAGAGGGGCTGTTGAATAAAAGATGACTTCGAGAAGAAGAGGGAAAACACTGGAAATGTGGCAATTCCTCAAACAAAAGTGTCTCTGTGGTGCGACGACAGCACTGTGAGGAGAGCTACTGTCCTCTGGAGCTGGAGACGTCCTGGGGGTGGAGGACGGTCCAGTTAGGCATGCGTTTGGGATTCCAGCAGGGGCACGACTGGTGGAGTCGAAGCATCTGCTGTCCAGATGAAAAGCACATGAATTTTAATGCATGACATTGTTCCATATGTGGGAGATTTAACAGAGTGAGGATGATGCGAGATGGGTACAGAAACAGGATGGTGGTGCATAAAACTGCAAATCACACAGGGGTCAGCTTTTTCTGGTGTCACATATGTATGCTGTGATGATGTCATCAGTCATGATGCACCACACTGTTCAGCAGATTCCCATTTCCAACCAGTAGCCATACAAGTTTTTTTTTTCTTGCAAGTTGCTCTGTTCTCAGAAGAATTGGTGTTTCCCCATTTTTTTTTTTTTTTTTCAGTCAGGCCTGAAGAAAATTATTTTGGACATTTTGTCATCAACCTAACTGGAAACAGGACCTAACCAACGGTTCAGGCCCAGTTAATATGAAGAGGAAACAAAAAACAAAGTGTGCAAATCTTTCCGGGAACACAAACAGGAGAGTAAATGCCACTCTGACCTTGCTGACTAACATTTCTGATGACTACAGCACCCTCTTTTTCTTGTTGCGTTCCTAAGCACCGAAGGTGGCTCTGTGGCAAGTTTACAAAATACCAGCGCATCATGCCGCAGCACATTTTCTCTGAAGAGCTGTAAAACCAGTTTCACCTTAAGGAAAGAGTTCTATGCCCTTTATATGGAATGCCTTGGGATCTTCACGATTTTTATAATTAGTAAAAATATCAAGAGATACCGTGACGGTTAACCAACAGTTTTTACAAGACATGAAAAAGATATTGGTTTAATATCATGCAATTTCTCAGTCACTTGCTTTTGAGAATAAGAATAGAGCTTGTTTTTTCTAAGCAAAGGTCATAACTACAAATTAAAGGTTCTAATGAGTAATAATTGGAGAAATCCTGCTTTTGCAAACTTTTTGAGATTAAACCCAAACAAAGTTCAGTCAGGTTATCTGGACGTCCCCTCACCCCAGAAACATTTTGTCCTTCATCCAAAGGACTTCATCAGTCCGAAGAGCCCCAACAAATTCAGTCCCACAAGCAGCACACTCTCATAGTGGACCAACAAGTTTGCTGGTGATAAGATGGTTTCTGGAGTCCGCCCTCTCCCACATCAACTCTGAGGCAGCCATAGCCAAAGGGGCTCAAAACATCAAAGTTCATGCTCAATCCTCCATCCATCCATTATCTTTATCCGCTTCTTCCATTTTGGGTCACGGGGGTCGCCGGTGCCCATGTCCAGCAATCACTGCGAGGAGCGGGGTACACCAGGTCAGGTCGCAAGTCCTTCACAGGGACACATAGAGACAAAAAAATATTCACTCTCTCACACCTAGGGACAATTCAGAGTTACCAATCAGCCTAACGTGCATGTTTTTGGTCTGTGGGAGAAAACCGGAATGCATGGAGAAAACCCACGCATGCACGAAGAGAACATGCAAACTCCACCCAGGAAGGCCGCCGGACCGGGATTTGAACCAGGGACCTGCTCGCTGGAGGCAGCAGCTGCGCCACCGTGCTGCCCATGCTCAATAATCCAGGTAGAAAATTTATTACGTGGATTATTGTACATGCACTTTCATGTTTTGAGATTAAAGATTCTGTGTAGGGCCAGCAAGACTTTTAGGTTCAGTTTTAAGTCAAGGCTCAATATATGCTCAATGCAATCTAATATAATGCAATACATTATATTATACAGTGCAAAATGGTATACGAAACAGCATAACAAGTTTGTTTTGGATTCTAAAGCCAAATTTACACAAAGCAAATGCATTCTACCAGTACGATAGACTAGTTGCACAATTACTATTTAAATCATATTTAAAATCACTAAAGTGAATGCTTCTCTCCAAGTAAACACAAACAAGAAAACTGAGCTTCATGTGCAAAATATGTGAACTGTTCCTTTAAACTCCGCTCAAGAGGAGCTGCACAAAAGGCATTTCCTTTTCTGCTTTGTTCAGGATTTCAAACTAAATTCCATATGCTTTAAATTCTTCCTAATTCAGGAAGTTTGTAAAGCACAAAATAAACTTAATGAAAAAGCAGCTGTTCTGCCCTCACTAATTAAAAAAAGACAAAAATAGCAGGACTAATCAAACCGGTTTGTCCCAGGTATGTGCCTCACCCTTCATCTCAGGTTTATGTCACTTCAGACCTTTTAGTCTCCTTTTTGTCCAATGGTCAACACTGAAGGCTCCAAGTGTGTCCCATCTACTTGTCAGCTTGTGTGTGTTTACTTTGGGTGTGTGTGTTGTGCTCATAATACATTTAAGTTGGTCATGAAAACCCTGCCTACCTGCAGTCATGTGTTTTAAATCTGTCCGGTGATGCTTTTATTAGAGGGATGACATAAAATCTGTTTTATCTTTCCAAAACATTTCGATTTTCCTTTAAAGGCAGGTAAGATAGGCCATATAATCACTTCCTCTTGCCTAGAATAAATCTATAAATTTCTGTGGAAATGGCATGTTGTAGTTCTCAGCAGACCAGGCTTTAAAGGTGTGACCTATGGTTGTGTGAAACTTCCTGGATTTTTATTTAAACTGAAATTCTTTAACCTAATCTAATATTTATGAGTATATTTTAAATATCAGGGATGATTTAAACATATAAGCCGCCATCATATATTTCATGGAACAAAACGGGTTGTTTGGTCTCTATTAGATCATCCATCTCCCGTTTCAATTCAGGGAGATGCGCCAAGAAATCAGTGCGTAAATGCGCCTTTTGTTAAAGTTCCTGGACTCCGTGGGAGGCTGGCTGTCACGCTCCTGGCTGTGACTGGGACATGAATAATTCATGTATGTGGGAGGAGAGACAGTTTCGGGTTTGACTGCAGTCCGCTGCATGCGTCACGTTTGGACTCAATGGGCGAGGACATGGTGAGGGACGGCTGTCCCCACAGCCACCAAACACCAGGTAAACAAAGATTTATTCCATTTTATTTGACGAAACGTGCTCATTTCTTCTCTGAATTAAGAATGATTTGGCACCTTGAACATTTGGGTAGTTTTAATCTATGATCTCGTTGTGACTGGTTGTTTTAAGTGTCCCTGTCATCCATTTTACGCACGAGATTTATTGTGCGCAAAGTATTTCCACCTTCTGTTTTAATAAGGGAATTGAAGCAGCGTAATTTGTAGTGAAGAATGACAAATCGGACCCACCTCTAAACCGAGTTTTTAAACTTCTGCGCAACATGGGAGATAGTTTTGAAACCTAGTTTAGATTTAACATTTTACTTCTTATTAATTATGTTAGAGACGCTAAAAAGTTAAGCTGTTCAGACCGACCTGTTTGACTTTTTTGTGTGCAAATCAGCTGCTCTATATGTGCAGTGCATGTTCAGACATGGATCCAAGCGGGTTCATTTGTTTCCACATGTGTGCGCCTTCAGATCCTGTGCAGGATATGAGGATTCCGACTCATAAGGGCCACATGGACCCCTGAGGTTCCTGCTGAGCCCTAAAGCCAGACCAGTTGATCTCACTGTCTTTGGCTTGTTGGATGAATGGGAATCTCTGCAATAGGCCATAATCAACCTGCTGGTGTACCACTGGGGGATTTTATCACCTGGATGTATTTTTCTTCTTGTTTTGAGTGCCACTGTGAATGTGTGTCCCGTGTGTGAAGCGCTCTGCTCCCTGTGAGATTATTTACTGCCACTGATGTGGGCAAACACATGGTGCGCTGTTGTCCTTGGCTGTATCACTCACTCTGTCCCACAGTCTCTCTGCTGGGATTTAGTTTTTCTTTTTAAATAAAGGCTTTAATGGAGTCACAGCAGTGAAGGAAACCAGTCTCAGTTTAGTACAAAAAATAAGAGGTGTCAGCTCAGCAGAGTTCCCAGGATTGATTTAACCCACACTTGACCTCCCCCAACAAGCATTAAAGGGTATTGGGATCTGGATTAAAGACCCCCGATGAGGCTCTCCAGATGGTCTTCTCTTAACTCATGGAAGATTTCTTATCTTGACTGCAAACTATGGCAAATCTCCAGTACGTGGCCTTTAATATAACTGCTGTGTAAACAGTAGACACTTCTCACACTGATTTGAGGTCATTTGTCCAACAACTTGAATCTTTTATGAGATCAGATATCGCCATAAATCCTTTTTTTGCATGTAAACTGTTGTGTTCATCCTTCAGCACTGGTGACAGCCCAAATTACTCCTTCCATATGCAAACACACATTTCAGGGCTGCTTCTTCTCCCCACGGGCACAGTTTGACGTAGATTTATCTCATTAATCAACAGATCACCACACCTTCCTGTTTTTTCAATCAGCTGCTGTGTCTTTGAAATAAGGGAACAAGGAGAACATCTGCTTTCTGCTTGCACTGTTCTGGGTGCTTTTGTCTTCAAGGTGTTTTTTTCTTACGCATGGGTCAGTAATTGTATTTGTCGTGTTGTGTTATCATAACATGGAGTCTGGCTGCTGCTGTCAGAACCTGATTTATGGCCTCTGTCCTGAGCGAGGCTCTCAGATCCTCTCCTGCCATTTGCTCAGCAGGCTTTAAATGTTTCCTGTTGGGAGATGAAAGCCTCACTGCAAGTGCAGCTCAGCTTTCTTTAGCTGATTTGGCCCCGCAAACATATGAGATGAGGAGACATGCTGACAAATCGGACGCTGATCGTGTCCGTTTGTGTGAATCAGCTGCAGAAGTGTGTGTTAACAGCAACGCAGCCAACAACGACATACATTTGAACTTTTTGTGCATTTCTGCTTGTGTGTTGTGCAGTAAACAGATAATGTTTCTTAAAGTTCAGTACTCGCACTGATCATACTTCTTGCAAATTTTCTGGACACACACATGCAATAACTTCAACACTGATTTTAATGATTTGATGTCACATAGAGGACAGGGAGGGTCTGTTGGGCAGAAACAAAAGAAAGCATTTAAATCATGCAAATAAGCTGCAGATTTGTTTGATAGACCACAGAACAGAGGGTTTTTTTCCCCCTGTGCAGGAGAAACCTAATATTAATAGTTTTAGCTTTTGATAAAAGAAGCTAAAAGAGTCCGTCAGAGGCTGGACACCGTGTGATAACATCCTTTCCAGCTTGATTCTAAAATATCTCACACAAACTCAAGCTGCACACACACTTAATATGTGGCTGCACTTCATATGTCCTCAGAGTTCTCCAATAAAAACATTTTGCCATAAATTTTCATATAATGTGCTTCATGCATTATGAACCTATCTGAGAATGACAGCAGCCCATCATATTATCTTTTGCATGATGGTTGATTGTGCTTATACTGCAGGAGTTCAAAACAAGATATTTAAAAAAAAATGTTCCCAATCACTGACACTCAGAGTTTAGAATGATGATGTAATATGTAATCTCATGGTTTCATGCATACAAAGTGATAGAATCCACAAGTGAACCAAAAGACCACAACCCTTTGAAATAAAATAAATGAGACAATACAAATATTTTATAAACTTCATGACCACATATGCATCTTGGTTTGATCTTGGTTTGTTAAAATCTGTATGCTTTTTTATAACTGTCTATTGTTGTCGCTGTTGTCCATTGTTGTCATCATGTTTTGTTGAAATCAGGTCTCTCTTGTAAATGAGTCCTCGAGGCTCAATGGGAATTACCTGTCTAACTAAAGGTTGAATGAATGAATGAATCCATTTACAAAACGGCTTAAAACTCAGAAAAAAAGTTCCCAAAGCCTTTATACAGTTTGCTTTTTCATATCTAATTTTGATTTGACCTGACTGAACATTGTTGGATTTTTATACCTGGATTATTGAGCATGAACTTTGGTGTTTTGAACCACTTTGGCATGACTGTCTCAGAGGAGTTGATGGGGGAGAGGGTGGGCTCCAGAGGCCAACTTGGCACCAGCAAACTGTTTTTTCCCCACTATAAAGTATGTTGTTTATGGGAATCAGTTTTGCTTTGTGGCTCCTCATTTTGAAGAAGTCCCTTGGATGAAGGACGAAACGTCTCATAAAAAAAAAAAGACATCGTCCAGATGACCTTGAATTTTATACCTGGATTACTGAGCATGAACTTTGATATCTAATTTTAGCATTTTTCGCTGTTACATTTGTGACAGTCTCTCCATTTTCTTGTTCCATCAGAACGAGGTATGGCTGGAACACCTTTTCGCGCCACCTACATCTGGACCAGCATCATTTCCAACCTCCAGTTTCAAGTGGAGGTGAAGCACAGGCGCCACGCCCTCAAGTTGTACCATGACTGCTTCCTGGGGTCAGAGGCTGTGGATGTGGTGTTGACCTACATCACTGTGAATCGTTTCTTTGGCGATGTGGCGGTGCCTCGCTACAAGGCCGTTCGCCTTTGTCAGACGCTCATGGACTCCAAGGTGTTCGAGCCGGTGGGTCTTAAAGTATTTGGGAAGGAAAAGAAGAAGCCCAGGTTTGAGGACAGCAGCTGCAGTTTGTACAGGTTCTTGAGTCCAGAGATGCCCTCCTCATTTGCAACTGACATTCGTTCACAAACCCCTGGTACCACAGAAGGCAGCTATGGCTCACCGAGCACCAACCAGAACAAGAACGACTATACTCAGTCATGTGAAAGGTACATCTGTTCCAGAGTCTTATCTCACTTTGCTCTGCTCTCATGTTCCCTGATGGCCAGACTTCATCCTACAGCAAGGGTTTAAATTGAGTTGGTGTGAAATGAAACTATGAACACAGTCATGTATGTATTCTTCATGTTCAACTGATACTGGTTAGTTAGACCATTTCTTCTTCATGTGATCACAACCAGACGATAAAAAATAAAACTGCATGTTCAATGCATTGAACAGAAAGAGTCAAAGGGACTAAATTAGAAAAGATGTCAAACAAATTAACTGAGATGAAAACATTGTTTATGCATAGACTCTAAATTACAGAATTGAACACAGTCAAAATATGAAACAAAACCACAGTAAAAAGATACTAAAATGTTGTAGAGACAGAAAAGTTGTTGATGACTACTGACTACTGCATGTTTCAGACCTTAAGGTGCACCAGATTATAAAGCGCATTAAGCAAAACAGTCAGAGGAGTCCAACTTTTTTCAACTCATTCACAATAAGCACATAAAATTGGTTTGAGGTCAGTAAGCACAACCAGAATGAATACACATGATTATAAGGATCTCTGTCTCTGAGAGACTCTGAGAAAATTAAAGGATTTTAAGTGTGCCTTATAGTCTGGAAAGTATGGTAATTGACAAAATGAGAGTTGACATAAAGGATAAAGAAAAAATGACAAAAGTTTCATCCATCCATCCATTATCTTTACCCGCTTATTCCATTTTGGGTCACGGGGGTCGCTGGTGCCCATGTCCAGCAATCACTGTGCGAGGGGCGGGGTACACCCTGGACGGGTCGCAAGTCCATCACAGGGACACATAGAGACAAACGAGACAAACAACCATTCACTCTCTCACTCACACCTAGGGACAATTTAGAGTTACCAATCAGCCTAACATGCATGTTTTTGGTCTGTGGGAGGAAACCGGAGCACCCGGAGAAAACCCACGCATGCACAGAGAGAACATGCAAACTCCACCCAGAAAGGCCCCCGGACCGGGGTTTGAACCAGGGACCTGCTCGCTGAGAGGCAGCAGCTCTACCAGTTGCGCCACCGTGCTGCCCCTACAAAAGTTTCATAGTAAATTTAAATGACTAAAAACAATAGATTAAAAAAAAAAGATATGAATCTGTCTAAACAACATAGATTAAAAAGACAAATATACAAAATAAACAAGAAAAAGTGACACTAAATATTTTCACTGAAATTGAAACAAACTTTATTTGAATTTAGGTTGTTTTATGCACTCTAACAGTAATTACATTATTTTAATATATAGTAAATTGTAAACATCTCCCAGATGTTGACAATTCCAAGTGTTATAGAAAAACTAGCAAAGTTATTATTTACTCACAAGATGCTTTTTTTTGGGGGGGTGGGGGTGGGGGGTGGGGGTGGTCTTTTTTTACAGTAAAATATGCAAAAAGTATCCAGGTTAAAATTTCAGCCTCAGAAATAAAAGTGTTAATATGTGCACAACAGGAAATTCTGAAAACACTTGGAATAATCAAGAATAAATAAATAAATAAATAAATAAATTGGAGGGGGGTGGTACAGGCAATGGGTGACAGCATAACCTGACAAGGGTTTTACCTGTCACTGGCTGAACATGGGTAGGTGGAGATTTCAAAATATATCAGGAAGTAACAAAAGTAAAACCAGGATGACATTTTTTTTAATCTGTTTAAAAAGTATTTCTAAAAGTATCTGTACTTGAGATCTGGTTCCAAAAGGAGATAAAATATTTTGAGGGGTTGTCTTCAAGCGAGGCCCAGGTCAAGGGTTCACATTATTAATAATGAACAAAGAAAAAATCCTGCTAATATTAGCATTTATTACATAAATGGAAGAAAAATATACTTTAAAATGACATTTTTATGACTAAAACAGTTAGTTTATGTAATAAATCTTTTTCATGGACATTTTCCACTGATTGCTCTCATCCTGTGACTCCTCAGAGAAGAGATACCAACTTATTCCACCCACTCCCCGGTGAAAAAAGACAAATTACTGGAGGACGTGTTAGAAAACCTCGACCTCAGCTCCACCACCACTCCTCAAATGACCCGCCTCGGCCTCTCTCAGGAATGTAAGCTTTCTGTCCGAGACACTGGCACGTTTCAATTCATGTTGTCCTGCAGTAAACGTGTGACTTTAACTATTGTTGCGTTTACTTTCCCAGGTGTGCATGAAGTGTGGCACCAGCAGGTTGTGTCCAGGCTGCTGCAGCTCATAGAGCTCCCACTGCTGGAGGACTCGCTAGAAGGCGAGGTCAGGTCCAGGCCTCTCCTGCATGCCACCGACAATGATCCGGACCTGTTGTATATGTCAAGTTACCTGGACAGGGAGGTTCTGAAAGCCTTTAGTGAAGCACAGTAAGTCTTCTAAAGTTTGCACAAACAACGTGCAAAAAAGGCCCGTATTTGAATCCAGCTGTTGCTCCAGTGTTTCACACGCTCTGCGATGCTTTGCACTTGTTGAATACTGAAAGTTATGCACACCCATGTGACGACTGACAGTGAACTTTTATTCTTATTTTTATCTAACAGGAAGTTACAAAGCAAACAAGAATGTATGTTAGTCTTTTTCGTATCTATTCACTGCCAAAGCTATCTTAACGATTACTGTAAAAGTGGAGTCTCCTAAAGTCATTAAAAAACACACCTAAGTGCTCATATGATCCCACCTGGCCACTTCAGTTATAATTTAAGGCTTTTACCTTTTACTTTTTAAGAAGGCGTGTTAGAAGTTGCAGTTTTTAAGGAAATTTATGGTTCAGAAAATGTATTTAAGACCACTAACTCATTTTTTACCTGTTTATGTATTTTAAAGCCTTAAAAAAAGATCAAATATGACATTGCTGTAAATAGTTTTGGACATAACTGTTCAAGAACCGAACATCTGTTTGTGTTTACCAGGCTTTAAGAGAAATAGGCATTTGGTCATGAGATTTTCATGGTAATTTAGGGAAGTTGTGCGATCTGCACTGATGGTCGCTTATATAACTGCACTCAGATAATGTGCAAAATCGAATTTTTTTCAAAATTTCAGATTTTGGGGGAAAAACAATCTATTTCTTGGCTTTTATTTTATGATAAGGCTTTATATGATTGTCACACTTAATGAAAATATTGTTACTTTTTTTCTTGCTGTTGCTTGACTGAAGTTTTCACCAACTTCAGTGATAAAAATCCTGCTTTACTTTTAATTAAAACTCTGGCTTCATTCAGATGTAACTTAAATATGACTAAAACATCAAATGGCCGAGTCTGTCTTCCCTGGAAGCTTTGGAGCAGCTTTAAATCTTTAAACTCTGCCGGCTGCATTTGAAATAATTACCCAAAGTAGGATAAGTATATTAAGATGGAGTGAGGGAGGGGGAAGCCAGCCATCTGGACCACTCTTTTTTATCTCGTTTTATTTCCTGTTTGTGTCTCATCTACTTGGATGTAAAAGGAGGCATTGAGTTTGAAAACCAAACATTTAAATTCCTTCCCCTCAGGGCGGATGAGTGGATGTCGGGGGCGGTGGACTGTCTTGAGTTCCTGCCTGATGAGCAGGTGGTGGAGGTCAGTCGTGGTTTGGCTGGCTGTCCAGACGACCCGCAGCAGTGTAAGAAATTACTCTATCAGGTCCTAGTGAAGCATTACGGACAGACGCAACGACCACCTCTGCTCAGCAACTACTTTTTTGACGTCTACTCCGGCATCTCGGAGCTCCTAGGTGAGAAGAGAAGCTGCTGTTCTGCTTGCATGCACGTTCAGCAAAACGCATCTCAAGTAAAACTAAAAAGAAGAACTTTGTTGGTGCGTTTCGTAGTGAATGGGAAGCTGGAGCAGGCTGCAGAGGCGCTGCAGCTGAGTCTGAGGCTGCAGGACTCTCGCAGCAGAGAGGAGCTCCGAAGGCTCCTGAGATTCATGGCAACTGCAGCCAAACCACAGGAAGTGAAGCTGCACAAAGAGGTCAGTGTTCCTGCGCTTGTTGTTGTGACTCTGTATGCCAGGGCTATTCAACTAAACTGCGCAGGGGGCCACCGTTACTGAAATCCAAGCTTATGGTTTAAAATCTAGTTTTATTTAAAAATGAACCCCTTGGTGGGCCAAACTGAGCTCACTCGTGGGCCTGATTTGGCCCCCGGGCCACCAGTTGAAAAGCCCTGCTGTATGCATTGATGCTTGGTCTTCACCAATGTTTAATTCCTCTCAGATTGAAAATAGAATGGCAGTAAAAAGGGCTTTCTCCAGAGCCATCATCTACAGCAGAAGGCTTCCCAAAGGAAAGCTGGACTTGACGGTTCTGTTCATGATGGATCACCACATTGATCTGTTCAAAGTAAGCCCGGCTTGAACAAGGATTTGATTTGTTGGATCATGAATTTAAGGTTTAATTCACACTTTTTCCCCATCAGATCCCAGCCTTATTGCACCAGCTGGTCAGTGAACGGATTCGGAATATTGTGAACGGGAAAGATCCAGATGTGATAACAGGTGTGCAGGTTATTTGTGCAGCTTTTCCTCTTTTATATTTACTCATTTGAAGAACAGTATGGTGGAAATATCACATTTCCCTTCTTGTCTTTCTGTACTCCAGGTGTAACGTACAGCTCAAGAGTAAGTGCTCAGGTATACGCTGGAAACGAGCAGAACATCACGAAGGAGGAGGTTCTGTCGTTGCTGCAGACGGTTCACGAGAGCCCCAAACTCTCCACCAAAGAGAAGAAACAACTGCTAGGACGGTTTGCTAAAGCTCACCCGGACATTTTTGTCCAGTACTTTGGAAAAAAACTGTCTTTGGTCAACATGTTGCTACAATAATTTTTATTAGTGAGATGAAATGTGTAATATAATTTAAAAACAAAGTTTATGGAGGTTAGATGATGGAGTAAAGAATGTGAACAGTATATGTTGAATCTTAGAATAAGCTGCATTATTTAAGAACATATTTAATATTTTTATTTAGTGCAGGACACTAAGCTGAAATGTAAAAACTGATTTTAATACAATTATTTTGCCTAAAAGAGGAAAAGTAAAGTTATTGAACGTAGTTTCAAACCTGCTCATAGTATAAAGATGAACCTGCATGTCGTTTTCTTTTTGGGCATGTTTCTGTGCACGTGCAGTAAAGTTGGTGTATTGTATGTATTCATGTCGACTCACGGCAAAGCAACGAATGGAAAAACCCTTCAATAGTTGTTTTAACTGAAAATATGAACGTGTAATGTAACACAGAGGCATTCATGGGACTCATCCAAGTTTTTTTTTTATGTTGCAACAAAACAAGATGTTTGGATGGCTTCCATTTTTACGACTGAAAGGTTTAGCCACGTTTTAGTGGCGTCTTCGGGGTTCTGTTTTAAATGAGGTTTGTATAATCCTTCCGATCCGCAGAGGAAATGACTTCCATGGTTCCTCCAGGTTGAAAATGGCGCACATCTTGTTTGTATTTAGTTTTATCGTCTGCGATGAAACTCAACTGGAACTTCCATGTAATTTCTTTCAGGCAAGAAAATAAATGGCATCTGGTATGTCAAGTAACTGAACAACCTCCAATTGTTTTTCTCTGTAATTTATTAAAGTGACACGATTGTCAAACTTGGCTTATGCATATAAAGTTCCTTTATAAAATAAAATAGTGACTATTTCTTTGAAATAAGACCGAAGCTTGAAACCACAGACCTTCGACTGCTTTACTTTTCAGCTGTTACTTGGAACTACCATCAAAACATGAATGTTATGCCGTCTCCCTTTCAAATGAGGTTTGTGATCACAGTGGGACTTGCCCGGTTAAATAAATGTTAATAAATTACTTTTTTCTAGCACCCAGACATGACAACTTCTTTGTAAACTTTGAAACGAAGTCGGTAAAGCTGATTAGCGTTAAAACCTGGAGCAGTTTATCACAGTGGTTTTGTCAAGTTTAAACAGATATTTGCTATTTATTATCTACGGTATGTTACAGGTATATTCAAATAATCAGAATGCAAACTCAGTCTACTTAGTGTGTAAAATCTTAAAATTGAATATGATTATTTCTGGGAGTTAAAGTATTTTCGAGCGATCCCAACAAATCAAACAGAACCCCCTGCTAGTGACTTTAAAAGCTGACTGAGTCAGAAAAGTTATTCATTTAGCACCAAGGCATAGCGATAAAACACATGTGACGCTTAAAGTCAAATAAAAACACAAGTGGCTTCTTCACGTTTATTCAAAGAAACTGTTTACTCGTTATCTAAAAAAAAAAGAAAAAAGAACTTGTTGCTGAAACATAACATCAATGGTTTGCAGAAACCCACAGTTGAATTAAAACTTTTTGTTTTTACAGTATAATAGTCAGTCTTTAAAAATAAAAACTGATGACAAAAAAAAAAGCCACAGAAACGCTCAGGTGTGCACCCTGCCTGCATGTTGCATGTGCATGCATGCTTGTTTCCTGCTCAGAATCTGTAGTGCCAACACGTATCTCTTATGACCACCTGCTAAAACGTTACATTCCTGAAGGGTTTTCTCCGTTTTATCGAATCCTCTTCTGTTGGCGTGCGCGGTAGATGTCGTGTATGGGCGGAGCCACGGCTCCTTTGTCGTCCTCCTCGTCAGAGTCTGCGTTGGGCCTCTTCAGCGACTTAATGATGGTGTGGTTCTCCAGGGGTCCGCTGCCATCCCCTCCTGCATCGGGCAGTCTGCCAGTGATCAGCTCTACAGCAGCTTCAACAGCTTTAAAGAACACAGACACAGAAACGGGTCAAACAGAGGAGAGATCAACCTTTAACTTCGAGTTCTGTCTGAGTGAAAAGAACAAATACAACAAAAGTCAAACTGTTATCACCAAAAAGTCAACATATTTAGGAACGATACGGTTCAGTCTAAAATAAAGTAGCTTACTTTCAGGAAGTATGCATCCCCTTAAAGTCTCAGTGAGCTCATCCACTTGAACAAAAGGACCCTACAACCAGAAACAATCACAGATTTGATAAATCCTTGTAGGCAAAGGTAAACAAAAAGCTTTTCAGCTGCTGCAACTCACAGTGAAGCACGAAGGCGGAGGGAGCAGCTTCATCAGGACAACAGCAGCCGGAGGGACGGGGAAAACTCCACCAGGGACAGGGTGTAAACCTGGAGCTGTGAGGAGGAACGCGAGAGGCTACATCAAAGATGAATCGGAGAACAGCAGCGTTTCGAAGATTAAGCTAGCACAAACGGTGTCAGATTCACAGCGATCCTGGGTGGGATTACGTACGGGCGAGGTGACGCGGCTGGAAGGGGATCATCTGATTAGTGTCTGGTTTGGGGTACTCAGGTTTACGGTCGATTTCGTCTTTAAGCGTAGGCACAGAGGGAGCCACCACAGTCTCTGGGAGCAGAGAGGCCAGTTTGGCACGAGAAACATCCTACAAACAAACAGTAGATACAAAGCAAACAAAATTATATCAGAATTAACTACACTGGCAGCAAGAGATAATAGTTTATATTAGGGATGCACGATATTGGATTTTTGGCTGACATCCAATATTCCGATATGTTAAAACTTATTTGGCCGATAACGGATATAAATACCAATATTTTCCCCCTAGACCTACTTACAGAGACTACATACTCTGCTGTGGAAATAAAACACTACATTATTCTGTATGGTCTTTGTCAATTAGGCCTATTTACCTTTATCGCTAATATCGGCCAATACCGATACCATGCATCCCTAGTTTATATTATATTAAATTATTTTTTACAATTATACTTATTTATTATTACTATATTGTATTATATTACTGAGCACAATTCAAATAAAAGAGGGTGAATACACACCTTGTATCCAAGGGCCTTTAGTTCACTAGTAGAGCATGGGTACAGGTCCATGAACTTGTACCGATCTACAAGCAAAGCCGTTTCTTTGCCTTCGTATTCATCTTTGAAGGCAGTGAAGCGCCGGCGCTCTACTTTCAGAATACTGGCTAGGTCTCCTATGTTGCTCTCAAATGCCAGGAACCGAGACCAGACCTCCCTGAAGTACAAAGAATGTGTCAGTGTTAACGAGCATGGACAGACACTTTAGCATTAAGGCTAGAGTTGCATCCGGGCCTAAAAAATCCGACCCGGCCCGAGCCCGACTAATTACCAGTAACTGTACCGGTAATTACAGGCTAAACCCGAAAAAAAAAAAAAAAAAAAAAAAAAAAAAAAAAAAAAAAAAAAAAAA